CCTTTAATTAATAACACATCAGCGAGATGATCCACTTCAACTCCATCTAACCCTAAACAGTAGTTTGTTGTAGTTAAAGACAGGTTTATTTTTTTAAATTTCTGATAGTTAAATTATGTATTTTTGATCCAGTATCGCATGGGGTGGAGTTATTTTACCAGTTGGTTTTGCCTCAGGGGAGATACCGCAGGTATGAAATAACACAGAGCTAGCAGAACTTATTAAATGTTGCTTACCTTACACAGAATTATATGAAAATACATCTCCTCTCCCTTAAAAGACACTGCTATAAGACAAATGCCTAGCTAAAAAGAACACCTAGAGTTGGTCCCTGTCTATTTTTGTTGATTCTCTATTGAGATAACATCTCTCAGAGGGATGACTCTAAGACAAATACTAGTTAAGATGTTGTTTTCAGTTTTCTACTGAACCCAGATAATTTTATATGAAGAGTACCCTGGCCTAGTGAAAAACCCTCCTTAAAGTCCCAAAAGTGACCAACATCACATCTTTCCCCCAACAGTATCCAAGCAATGCATAAATCAAGAGAGGAAGGAAGTAATCACTAAGGGCTGGGAAAATGCTTTGATTTTTTAACAAATTCTCTCAGGTTAAATTCTTAAAGACAGGAGAATTTGTATAAAGATGTTGTAGTTAATTTTTTTATCCCAGGTAATTTTTTTCCTTTTGTTTTTGGCTGTTATTGTTTGCTAATGAAGTTGAAAGAAAAGAAAAATAAAAATTATCTGATATAAAAAATTAGCTACAACATAGATATTGAGGCTAAAAGGATTAAATGATATTGTGATACGGCAGAAACTTTCACCCATTAATATTTATGCATGTGAAAGTGCAATGTAACAAACCAGTTATCAGTTATTCAAAAGCAGTTCAGTAACTGTTTTTTATTATTTTATCTGTCATTTTGTATTTCCAGATTCCAGCAAATATTCTGTTGGTAAAAAACTGCTCGGCTGGTAAGATTATTTGGTCTTTTTTCTCTCTTTCAGATAGATAGGTTTGATTTTTTTACGCTGACCAAGTTTGTATCCTGACTTATTAATTTGTTTTTCTTTTTTATCTATTCACAGCTGGTTTATTTTGGGTGAGTTTTACAACATTACAAATATAATACATCATTTTTCAGCATTTTCCTAACTAATATTTATTTAGTAGGAAGTCCTCCTCATAGAAAAAGATTACTGGTACCTGAGTTTGGCAACTTTGTAAAACAATGAAAAATTTCTACAAAACTTTTAGATGGGAACATTTTTCAACAACTGTTACAATCACTTTTTTTTTTATCCTTTTTTCATTACAGTGTTTAATTTCAGTAAATGATTTTGACTGTACAAGTTGAAGGATTATTTAACTTTTGTTTATATTGCTGCGAGTGGTTTAGAGCAGAACCTTTATATTCATCCTTTTTTTACGGGAATAATATTTTGGTCAGTAATTCGATATTTTTTAATATTCGTGATTGATCCTTTACTGGCTTTTCAAAGAATGGCTTGTGACTATTGATTTGATTCTGTCAGGGTTCACACATGAAGCACAATCCAAAGTTATTAAAGGAATCAGTGGATAAATCTCTAGAAATGCTGCAACAGGGTAAACTGAAAGGACCTCACATTTCTGGACAGTTTGAATTAGATCAGGTATCTTGGAATTAATGGGCGCTTTCCATTTAGGGAAAAAACCCGGAAATTTCGGTGGGAGCAAAAGTGGAATTTCCGATTGGTAAAAAGTTGTTCCACTTGGTCTTAAACCCCGGTACGTCGCGGTGCCCGACCGTGGACCTGGAACTGGTACAAACTACGAGAAACGTAAATGGAACATGACATTCCGTTCGGCAATTCCAACCGGGAAAACGGGCCCACCTCTTTAGATTTTCCACTTTTTCTGGGAATTTTCCAGTGGGACAAGCCGACGAAACGTGTTCCATTTACCGCCGAACCAGAAATTCCGGAAATTTTGACTAAATGGAAAGCGCCCAATATGGATTTCTCCTGAATGGGATTGCAAAAACCCTCAGTCTTTAGATTAATTGAACTCTTAACTATCATTTCAAAATAATAGGTTATTGTTCCAGAACAAAAGTTAAGGGCCCTTGTATCTTAAAAGCTTTTTAAGCATCCTGGCCCTGGCACTTATCATTATCTAACGGTTTAGGACCTTGATTCTAGTTTAATTTTTGGTGACTGTACAAATAAATGTGACCAATGGACATGCCACTGTCACATGGCAAAGACACTGGCTGTTCAGGTAGGAATGATTTTTGCCTGAAGGATAGCAAAGTGCTAAGCAGATTACTTATTCGTACGACCATAACGTGAATTAAACTGCAATCAGTATGATGAGTGTCAGCTTGTTCTATTTTAATTACCATATATTATATTTCCGGTACACAAAAATGAGAAAAAATTGAACCACAACATACATACAATCGTGACATGTTTTATTCTTTTCAGCGAGAGAAAAAGAGCCTAATAACACTTTGCATCTTATGCAGTGACAGTAGGAGGCAATGTTAAGAATAAATTATGATCTCTAGCATGGATACTTCTTGTCCAAAAAGACCACAAACAGTTATTATTCTATTTTTTTTTTCAGGCCAATGAAGCTTTTAAGTTTGTAATGCAGAGAAAGTCAACTGGCAAAGTTGTGATAAATACAAGATAGACATTGCATACAGTATGCAGTAGCGGTATTTATGTTTGTCTTGATAAGAATGCCTTATGTACAGTATATGTTGTTGTTCAATTTTATCCTTGGTTTAATTTTATTTCCCTTTGTTTTAGACTCATCATCATACATTACCATACCCCCAAAACAAAGAATAAAACAAAAAATAAGTTAAACCAAGGATTCCAATTAAATTGAACCACAACATATGTGTCAGGCACATTCAGGCTATGTTCACATTGCATCTGTTAAAATAATTTTCAACCATTTTGAAAATTTGTGCATTTCAGTTATGTAGGTGTCCTGTTTATATGGAACCACCTTCATTGTACAAACACTTAGGCACCAAGCTGTTCAAAGTTCTGTGTGAACAGAGAAAAAAAAGGAATGGTTCCATGCAAACAAAGTATCTGGTCAAATTTTCAGCAGGTCAAAAAACTGTTCAGTGCCATGTGAACATAACCTTAATGTCAGTCTTAGTTAGAGAATCCAAAGCTCTTTCAAAAGTGTGCATAAGTATAGCTATATCTAAGTCAAGTAAGAGGTTTAAGAATAGAACACCAAACATTTGAAATATAATTTCAGTTTTTACGAGGTTTAATTTTGCTGCAAAATATATTTAATTAGCACCATGATCATTGTAAAATTAACACTTAAATTAGTAACAAGATGAATTATTTTTTTCCTGACCCTTCTACTTCCAGAGTGAATGATCAAAGCTAGTTTGGTTGCTATAACTTTTGAGTCTGTGGATGAAATCCAGCAGTGTGACCCTTCAAATGAAACCTCTTTGCCAGTATTTTCACTTGGCATTTTTTGTTTCTCACCATAAAGATTTTGTTACATTTTCTACTTTGTTCCCTTCTGGGAGTAAAAGGGGAAATGGCAACAAGAGAGAACCGGTATCAACTATCCTTCTTAGAGAGGTATCTACCCGACAGATGGATAGTTAAAAGCTAATAAAATGACTAAAGAACAGTAGGGACCAACTTTGCGCATCAGTTTTAGTAAGGTTTGCATCTTCAAGGATGAGAGAGTTGGCTGTATCGTTGACTGGTTTTATAAATTATAAACTATGATTTGGTTCACGATTTTAGCCTCATATTTGCTCGGCACTGTCTGTCCTCTGGGCAAATCTTTGTCTAGCATTTATCATACAAGTTTTTCTTTAGTGTAGCCACAGAGCAACATGCTAATCTCTCAGTGACAAGTGGTTGGTTCATTGCAACCTCTGCATGCTTATCAGAATTTTGCATTCTTATGTAGAGTTAAAAATTGCTTTACAATAATATTTAATGGGCTTATTCTACTCTGCAGTGTGCTGTTAATGTCAAATCAGAACACTTATGGGGCCTGCAGGCCCTTAATTCCTGTCAACAATGAAGGGTCTCGTTGATGGTCCTTGATAAAGGCCGCTGAAAAAGGAGCCTTTTGCTCTATGAGGCTCTGTTAGGGTTAAATTCCGACAAGCAGCATGGCCTTGAAATGGCTACATAAGACAGATGAATTGGTGACAAATGACGTGAAGTTGGTTCAAAACCACAACAGCGACAAGGAAAATCACAAATACAATAGTAAATATCGACAGCAACATTGCCTCCTCTTCAATACACAAAACGACTGCTTTTGAAATTCAGACGAGAGACATACGTAATCCCCTCCCCCCTGAAGATGGCCTCCCATATGGGCTTCTTGATTTAAATAACTAGGTTTGACGTACTATAGATTCAATTTTCTTCGACCAAAAGCAAAAAAATTGTCAGAATAAGAGTATGAACCGTAAACTACATTAATTTTATTGTAAATTGCATTCTAGCCTAAACACAAATAAAAAATTAATTTGCAAATGATTATTTATATAATAATAATAATTATATTATATTATATTCAATGACCTTATGAAATGAGCAACTTGTGAACGTACAAGAGGGTATGGACAAAACTTCCGTAGATCAGAAAAAAAATACACATTTTATGTACATCCACTTTCAAATAAACAGTTATCTGTTCTGTTGCCCTGAAATGGAATTAATGAATGTAAAACATGACTTCCCAAAACTTGTAACACTGTTCTGTTGCCAAAGATGTGATCTTCACTTTTCAACTCTCCCAAACAAGTCTTTCAATAGGAGTAAAACAGGCTCCTGTGCAACCTTGCTCGAGTTTTTGTCATTAATAACTTGGCGCACATGTTATCCACCTTGCACTCTAGACAGGCATATTCCAAATCATGTCTTGTAATGAGGTTTAAATGCAAACAGCACCAATCCAATTGACAATAAAACACCTTAATTCACTACCACGTTGTAAATACATTATTGAAACTGTGGCTGATAGTCAAATTCCGATCCTTGTGTTGGTTGTGGCGTTGGGTTGAATGGTTTGGGCGGTAACTGGGAGGGGTCGGGTGGTTGTGGCATCACTGAAAGAAAAAAAAAAAACACACTCAAAACATTTTACTCCTAAATAAAAAAGCCATACCTCAATTCAAGAATTTTTTTCACATTTCTTAATTATCAGTAATCTTTAAATAATGAGGGTTGAGGGAAGGTAAAGGAGCCAAAATGATTGTGTCCTTATTTAAAAATTTTTCTTGGTGTCAGCTGCAGAAACTATGGTTTGCTAAACATTGCCTTGTAGTGTTGGCCCAAGTTGTTCAAAAGATGGATAAATCTATCCACTGGATAACGTAATTGGTTTCCTTAACACTTGTGCACTAAATAGTGATTTATTCGGTGGGTAGGGCAATCCAACTTTCGAACCACTGGGGCCAGGATTTGACAAAATCAAGGATTCATGTCAAATGTTACAAAGAACCAAAATGAACTGTGAACGACTGTTACGCTAACAAGTCTTCCACAACCACAATTGCAATCCATTTCAATCTTCTTCACTTTTATCCATCTTTGCCGCCTTTTGCACTTGCTCTGTTAAATATACCTCCTTTTCATATTTTGAGCAGTTGTTTCATGTTTCACTCAGTCTTGGTGGCAGATCCCACAGTTATAATGTTAATAAAATTCTGGGACACTGCAGTTCAATCAATGATAAATCTGAAAACACTGACAAAAGATGAAGACGAACCTGGTTTAAACTGTTCTGCAGTCATTCTTGTGATACAGATACCAATTCCTTCAATTAATGCCAGCAAGATGGCTCCAACTGCTGCTGACCTGACAGCCGCTGAAGGTCCCCCTATAAACAATCAGTCAACAAGATAAGCAGGTAATTTCTCAGGGGCTGTTTTAAATACATGGATGAGGAAGGAAGATCCTAGCACCAAGAACATCCTAGAAGGCAGATCATTTTTGAACAACTGGAGCCAGACAAATAACTATCCATTGAATCGGATAGTATTAGGGAAACCAACCAGGGTATGGAGATAAGGTTTGCATGCTCCTTATGTCACTTAGATTTAAACAATGAAGCTTTTTTCCCTCTTTGTTGGCTATTTTGACTATATTTCCTAGGCTCGATTACCAGCTGCTGTTTGGGAAAATGAGCCCGCACTCATCCAAGACCGGACCTGGGAGATGGCGGAAATCAAGCCTATATATTTCCTACTGGTGTTTTGTTTGATGTTTCTCCTAAGCGTCCCATGGTTTAGCAAGACATGCATTTCTAGAACCCTCTAACTCTGTTAAGTTATGGTTATTACCTCTCGCAGCCAGTACAGCTCCTGTGATTGCACCACTTCCTATTGAGTTCCAAGGATCTTCTTTTCCTCTTATTCCCATTAAACAGCAGTCAAACGTAGAAAATAGCCCTCCCCATACAGCAAAATTACCTGTAATAAACAACCAGCACTAAGAATTAGAATGTTGTTCTTAATATTAGATGGTTTATACTACTACATGAGAAATTTCTGCAATTTGATTGGCTTAGAGCAGTGGTATTTCAGCTTAATTTGAAATACCTACATGTGAAAATTACAAACCTTTTAAGGGTAGTAGTATAAACAATTAATAGCATGATTTGTACGTGATATTTGGCATAAATACCACTCGTGATATTTCAAAATTGTCTTAAATTTCACTCGCCTAATGGCTCGTGAAATTACGTATAACAATTTTGAAATATCACTCGTGGTATTTATGCCAAATATCACTACAAATCATGCTATTTAGGAGAATTATTATTATAGTATTATTATTATAGGAGAATTACTCATGTTTTAGGCTTCTTACCTGCACAGTTACTTTATTTATATACTTGCAGCAGTGACAATTATTTTTTTATAGTCCATCTGCTTTGAATTAAATGCATGGACATGTTGACTAACCTCCAAGGACAGGAGCTCTTGTCTTAACTGCCGCTATACTGCCAAATAGTCTGGAACCCTACAGACAAAGGTATGATTAATCAGAAACCTGCCAGCTCTTGCAGTTGATGCTCTAACCAAAAATTAATAATTATTGGATAAGGCTAAGTATGATATGAAGAATTATTGAGATCAAGGAGGGATTTATCCACTGAGGCCAAAGGTGGAGAAGGATGACACACTCCTAGACAAGGTCCACCATTTTGTTTGCTCTACCAAAACAGTGCATCATCTTTTCCAGGGCTCCTTGGTTGCAGTCTCTTTTGCTTGTTATGATTCTGTACTATTAATGTCATTTTCTGGATATTGCACACTTCTTAGTGTCTGAATTTGGTCAACGCTAGCTGGTTATTTAACAATTATTCCTTGAGCCCGAATGGGCTATTGACTCAGAGGCCATGAGGGTGAGAGGAATAATTGTTTCAGCAAAATCCAACTACCGGTAGTTGGCCAAAAATATCAAGACAAAACAACTTTAGCTAGCAAAACACAATTCAGCCGCCACTGTTTTGGGTTTCAAAGCCAGCGCTTTTCGCTACTAGTTAGCTATAACATATAGCCTAGTAGTAGCTCAACCAATCAGAATGCAGCATGGATAATAGACCACTAGTTGGATTTTACTAATAAGAAATAGTGTGGGACTTAAGCCAATTAGGAATGAAGAAATATTTTCAGTGATTAATAATATTAATTAATAAACAGAGCATAAATAAGCAAATGGCCTACAGAATGTACAGCCACTTTGGTCTGCCTTGTCAGGACATTAAGAAGAACAAGGGATGAAGATGTTTTTGTGATTTATCAGGGAATGAAAATCCATCAATGCACAGGATACCCACATCCATTCCCCCAGTTTGTATTATAATATTTTTGAGGGGAACAGTTTATTAGCCAGAATATATCTTAACCTCAATTGGCGATGGAAATGAAGACGTGATGTCTTGATATTCATTATTACGCTAATAACAATAATATTTCAAATTCGTTTTCAACCACCGTGTGCAGTGAGCTTAATTACATAAGCTTATATTACACACTGATGAAAACTGTTTTGAAATTCACGCCAGAAATAAAGTAACAGTAGCCTTACTTTTGGCGAATTTCTCCATCCTTTCATGAAGGAAAAGATTCCTCCACCGATCGCTCCCATCGCGAAAGCACCGCCGCAGTCATCGACAATTCTGTAAGGGCTGCAAAAATTCGAAAGGAAAGTTTTTTCACTATAGCTTGCAAAAACCACAAGTATCATAGCAATACACCCTGCGATTAGCAAAAGGAATGTATTTTAAAAGAAGATGGATATTACAGTTTATAAATATTCGCACTGTAGAAAATTACAGTGCATTTTACCATCTAAGATATAAGCTTAAAATATTACCAAGGTTCTCTCGCATACTCCTCCATCTTGCTTCACGCACGTTTTTTTCAGCGGTAGTGACGCAATAGTTGCAAGTATGTTTTATCGCGATATTTGATTGGTTTACACCGAAAACCAATGAAAATAATTGAAAGAAACGTAACAAAGACGGCACAGCATGCTGGGTAAAACAGTTTTTAGCCAATAGAAAAATTAGATATTTCCCGCCAATTCTATGTTTCCAAAATGGCGGCTCTTTGGCGTTGAATTTTGGTGAAATCTTGATGTTCTTCCCACTGATTTTTGTAGTCTGAAGCAAAAATGTTGCCTTTCGTGAATTCGAAAAGTTCATTAGCTAAGTTAGCAGAATGGAGTCCGTCGGATTGGCCAGAGTCCTTGCTAGAAATGAGGGTAATTCTTGAAATACCTTCACTCCTATCACAGGAATTTTTGCAACATTCAAGCTTTAATTTTTCTGTTTATACGATATTTAATCTCATTCTTTAGACGATCGACAATCTACTTAGATGTTCTATTTGCTACGAATTCTTTGATGTTGCGTTGATGATCCCCGATTGCTCCCACAACTGTAAGTTAAATTATTTAAGGCCCATTGATTCAATTTTTTCTTTTTTTGTTTAAATTATAATTTTTTTTCGGGAAGTACAGGGCTAGTATTCCTCCTGGGTGTTTCGTTGGGTAAATCCCTGAGGAATTTTCCGTGTCTTTTATAAGTTTCTGGCCAAACAGTGGAGCTGTGCCACGTGATTATTTCCAGTGGATGTTTATTACACGTACGATTTTTTACTACGATGGAATATTGTACTTCGGGCCCCGGTTGTTCAAACGTTCGATAGCGCTATCCACTGGATAAAAATCTATCTAGTGGATAAAGTGGATAGAGTGGTTTTGGTTTGAGTGTCGTAAAACCAAAACCAAAGTAATTACTCTGGCCAATCACATAGGACACAGACAATACATTGAACCAATCAAAACTCGAAGTAATTACATGTGGCTGACGCAAAGCGCGGGAAAATGCATGCGAGCGCGTCACAATTGGCTTTGGTTTTACTTCTGATTGGATGAAAAGGTGGCGCGAATCTTTTAAGCCAATCGCATCGTGTAGAAAGTGCAAAACCAATTACTTTTCGACACTCAAATGAAAACCGCTCTAATACAATTGGTTCCCCTAATACTGATCCGCTTGATAGTGATTTATCCAGTGGATAGCGCTATCCAACTTTTGAACAACTGGGGCCTGTTCTGTTGTCGGAGTCATGTGATGGAAGATCAAAACTTGCATGATCAGATAACAAGTGATAGAGGGTACAAAAGAATGTGATCAGATTCAGTTTAAATTATTTTTATTTAGCCAAAATATAATACAATACAGGAATACATATCTGAATTGTAAATAGGCAAAGGAGCCCAGAAGAGACCAGAAGGCTTATGAAGTCTGGGCTCTCCAGTCCCAAAGAAATAAGTAAAAGGAAATTCGCGGAGGGATACGTTGAAAAAAAAAATTGTGTTCTGGGCATTCCATTCATTCTTAGTGGGAGTCCAAATGACGGCTTGCAATCAGGGATAAAATTGTTGAGACATGGTAACTTTGGAGAGCAAAACAGTATATACCTGTCCTGCCCATCCCCCCTCCATTCAAAGTTGGGGTGTTGTTGTTTTCTACAGGTAGCTCGAACAGCGGCTCAACACAATTCCATGGGGGGACTGAGGGGGGGAGGGGGGTACTCCTGGGAATTCTTGGTGGGGTTGTGGTGCCCGGTTCTCTAAATCCTGACTCTATTTCAGACCAAAAAATGTAACTTCCTAGACCTGTTTTCAGACCAGACCTCTAAAATCCATAACCCATTTTCAGACCTGGCCTTTAGGCAGAAATTATGTTATCATTACTTAAATTAGAGCACAAACAAAAAAATTTGTCAAACCCATTTCGAATTCGCATACTTCTCTTTCTTTCTTACTCATTTGGAATTGAAACGATAAATACGTTCATACACTCCTGTAGTTCCCTCAAAAACCATACCTGATTCCAAACCAAAATGGGCAAAGTGTATACCCGTTTTCAGACCAAAACGATGCAAAAACCCTACCCGATGGGGCGGCACATATCTATATAGCTTGTATAACTTTATAGCTTTTTAAGTCAGCAAAATGTCATAGAGGGCCTTTAGGGCAAAGGGTCTCAACTAGTTGTCTTGCTGATTGTATTTACATTTGTGCCAAGCATGCCTAATAGCAACCTGGAGACTAGAATAAGTGCAGGCTCCTCTTGACACGCCCAGTTAATATTGCAACCTATTTTTCAGATTGTTCTCTGTGTATCAGAAGATCTCTGAGCTACGAACCACAGTGTCCAACATGTTCTCTTGTAAGTCATTGATTTTCTCTGTTATAAATAGCTGGTTAACAATAATGTGACAAATACTAGTCTAAAAGCCAAATTTTATTTCATCTTGTCATATAATGATCACCCCCAAGTATATCTGCTTAACAGTCAATGCGTACATATACAAAGCCTCCATTTTTGCGGGAAAAATATACCATTGCACAGGCTAAGTATGGGAGTTGCATGCTCTGGATTTTAGCATCCTACTAAAGAGCAGTAGGGGCCAACTCTAGGTAGGTGTCTTATAGAGTTTGCCATGAAGAGAGAGTTGACCATAATGAGGGACAAAAGTGTTAGGACACTTCCATAAAATGACCCCTTTTTATAGTGGACATATCTATCCCCTCCCCCCAAAATTAATGTTGTATTTTAGACCCATGACAGGGGTGGTTCCAGACCTTCAGGTTGGGGAGGGGGGGGGACTGGTCATCCAGACCCTGAGTTAGAAGGGGGGGGTCTCAAAAAAAATTTTTTCAGCCCCTCGGGCCTCAATTTGGTCTACAAATAAGGGAGGTCCTGGGTCCCCCATGCCCCTACCCTAGATCCACCACTGCTTAAGTCTTTCTTTCACTACAAATAATGTTGATTTTTGGGGGGAGGCGGGGTATTTACAGCATTTAAACAGAATGAAATATTACATGAATGAAATTGTTGATAAAATTGGTATTTTAGACAAGTGAGTCACTACTTTTGTCCTTGATTGTAGGTACATGTAGCTAATGGACATTTGGGGAAATAAACATACAACAAGCGAAAAGAACATCTCCCCCGGAGGCTGGTCAAGTGCTAATTTGCAAGTTTTTTGTTCTCTTTCAGAAATTGAATTCTCCAACTTTAAAAAATAACAGAGTATTAGATGAATTGGTGCAAAACTTCATAAAAGTCAGGTATATTTTGTTTTTTCTGTTATTTATAATAAAAATTAAAGCAGGTTTCAGGTGGAAATTTACTTTGATTTGCTTAATGTAATAATATTCCTATAATTATGATCTGTTCCAGGACAAAACTGTTAGAATTAGTGACGGGTAGCGGTATAGAAAAATCTCCATCAGTGACTGCCGGCACAGTTGCCAAAGAAGGAGAAGAAGTGAATAAGAAAAGCAAACTAACGAGCACAAAAAGAAGAAAGGTAAATTTATCAGAATAACAAGAATAAGAGTTTGAAATCGAGTCTTCCACATTTTATTCAACTTTTGACATGGACCAGTTAGACAAACATGAAGCTCCGCACAGCTGCAAAAATTTATAGACATTTGTATGGTGGGGGACAAGTTTATGCTCCCCACCATACAAATATCTGTAAAGTCTCTTCATTAGTTTTCAACAAATCACTAATTTGAAGGCGCTCTTTCCTGTGGTGTTGATTTTCCCTAACTTGTCCATGTCAAAAGTTGAAAAAAAAAGACCGTTGAAAGGTCTTTTTAAGACTGAAAAAAGGATGGACTGAAAGGAAATAGAACAAACTTTCTTGGAGCTGGGAGAAAACAGGATGGGAACAGAAAGAGAGGTAGAACATACAGGGTGCAAAGAAAGTCAGTTTTACAGCCTGCCATTCAGGCCAGTTGTAGCTAGAGTGTACTAGCTCGCAAGTCATTTTAACTAGCCCCAAAACCCTCTTTCACTAGCAGGATTGATTACAATACTTAATTTGAATTTCCCCAAAGAACAGCACTTGCCCATCAGGCAAGTTAAGAATGAAAATCACTAGCTCAATAGCAAAATCCACTAGCCCCGGGCTATCGGACACGACTTTCTTTGCATGCTGACATAGGAGGAAGGGGATGGGAAAAGATGGACTTTGGAAAGTGGAAGAAAAAGAAGTAGAAACTGGGAAAAAGGGGATGAAAATTGAAAAAAAAAACAGTAGAAAAACTGGGAGAAAACAGAAGGGAATTTGGTAGAAAGTGGTAAAAACTTATGGAAAGGGATGAGTAATGTGTGAATAGATGAGTGTGGGAGAAAAAAAGGAATGGAACTGGGATAAGAAAAGGAGTTTTAAAGGGGGCTCCAAAGCAAGATTTCTAATTGTGTACTACAAGAGAAGTGGTTGATTTGTCAATGAATGGAAATTTAAATGTTTTTTATTATACATGGCAGGATCATGGTAGATCTCAAAGGAGCTCCAAGTCTTCAAGTCCGGATACAAAGAGACAAAAACTTGATGAGGGGAAAGAGAGTATCTCAAACTCAGAGGAAACTACTGAAAGCAATCTGAGGACAACAGCAGAGTCTTGCAGTAAAACAAATACAGAAGTGATTGTCATCAATTCAGAGGAGAGTCGCCATGAACAAGCTGCCTCTGAGATGCAGCCAATGACTGTGGACGAAGATATGTTGGAAAAACAGACACCACAGCAACAGGCAGATTCTGATGTTGGTAAGTGGTCAACTATCTGTGTTCTTCAATGAAATTTTTCCAGTGAAGAAGTTTGTAGGAAAAAGCCCCAAATGGCATGTGCTAAACTGCTAATTTTTCCTCCTGAATTGCCTAATATTTTCTTGTGAAACTAAAGGAGAATATCCTCAATATCCACATACAAATTCTCCAGACTAATCTGCTTGATAAAAGATGAAAACAACCCCCTAATTAACAAACATTTTGGCAATTCTCATAACTTTTTCTCTTGTTATGTATTGATAATTATTGTTAGGAGTAAGTTGATGTTGTTCATGTACATGTGCTAGCCCTCTTGGGCCAAGTGTTAAACATAACATCAAGAGTCACTTAGATCTTTATTCCACATATCCTTCCTTCTATAACTGAGGGGGCGTTTACATGGGAAAACTAGCACCGGCGTGAGTTTCATACTGCGATGAAATTTTTATTTTGTATCGTGTTTACACCATGACTTGGTCATTTCATATCTCGTTATTTGAAGGTACACTTTATGTTGATAAATACATGTGTGATTCAAAATTGCAAACATTTCGCATGCACTACCAGTTCCAGTCTACCAGCAGATCGATTTCACACCGAAACGAGCAGTTGTTTCACGTTTACATGATACTGTTGCAAGATTTCGTACCAGAGTGAAATTCTCACTCCGGTACAACAACCGGGGTGACCTCATGCCGGAGTGACTCGCGCCAGCATTAATGAAACCAACAATAATGTTTATATCCATAACATTAGGTAATGAAAGAATACACTCATATACTTTGTTGGTTGAACATATTTTTAGCTGAATGCCCAGTTTGTGGTGACATGGTTCCTCACAAAAGAATCAACGTACATCTTGATACCTGCCTTACTAGAACAGAAAAGAAAAGTTCGCTACGCAGGTTTGTACAATAATTTACTTTGTAAGATTCCTCTTTTAGGGGAGATTAACGCTCGCACAGTTTGCATAAAAAGTGGTGTTCAATATCCTGGGGCTTTTTTTTTTCGTGATCGGAGAAGTCAATTCTATTCTTAACTTGCCTGACAAGCCAGATGGAATTTTGGGGGAATTCAAATTAAAAAACTACTGTAAGACAAATATTGTTAGAATTCCTTATTAATTCAGCCAGATCAAAACCTGTTTTTCAAGGTGAAGCTGATTTGACTAATGGTTAGAAGTGAAATAATTACATTAATTGTTACAATAAATTAATAAAGCAAGTAATTAATTGACTTATGGTTTAATTAACCAATAAATGATATTGACCAGAAAATTACTCAACTAGCTTCAAAACAAGACTTATTTTCGGTGAAATTCTCAGGAGCAAATGGGTTAATAATATTAATTATTAATCCTGCTTGTATTGCAAGTCTTTTCAAAAAGCCACTGGATCTCTGTGATTGTAAAAATGTTTCTAACCTTGCATTATAAAATAATAATGAAAAGCAGAAAGACATCCAAGGAACCCAAGACTATATGTAGTACATCAGCTAAGAGGAAACATGCATCACGTGTGGAATTTAAGGAATTTGAAGCTGTTTCAAGTGATGATGCATCATCAAGCTCATTGGATCAACAACCTTGTTCATCAAAGTCCAGGGGTTCATCCAGTTTGGCAGTAAAAGGCTCAAATGCACTTATGTAAGTTTAGTCCCAAGTTTGCTTTCGTTAATTACAGACAGGATTTTGTCTATGGACTAAAAGTTAGCGCTATCTTGAACAGCAAAATAAACAGGAAAACACTGCTTTAATAGTAGCTGTAGCTATATATAGTTTTCATTCAAATGGTCACTCTTTAGGATAATTTATTTGTCCACTTACTCATTCATCGAGTTTGGCTGTAAAAGGCTCCAATTCACTTACGTCAGTTTACTCCAAAATTTTACTAATACAAGTAATACAAGTCTTGTATTACAGACGTAATACAAGTCTTGTATTACAGACAGAATTTTGTCTATAGACTCAAAGTTAGAGCTACCTTGCACAGTAAAATAAACAACACCCTAGGAAAATACTGCTCCGTAGCTTTCATTTTAATGATCACATTTTACGATTTCATCCATAGACTCAAAAGTAATGTACAACATAATATTGAAACAGTACCACAGGAAAGTATACTACTTGGTAGTTTTCGTTTGAATGGTCACACCTTAGAATTTTGTCCACGAACTCAAAAGTTAGAAACACCTTGTAAAGCATAATAAATTCTACCATAGGAAAGTACTACTCAGTAGCTTTCATTTGAATGGTCGCACTTCAAGATTTCATCCACAGACAGACATTCAACAATCAGTTTAGCGTTATGTCAAGGTTTGGCAAACTGATGTCTACTGAAACCATGCTCCGTCTTTATAAGGCATTTATACTTCCTCACTTTTATTATTGTTCTATGGTGTGGCATTTCTCTAGTAAACAAGATTCTGATAAACTGGACCTTTTAAACAAACGTATTCTTCGATTTATTTTCAAGGATTTTAACTCTGAGTACAATAATTTACTTAAAAAGGCAGGAACTGCAAACCTTAAGGACAAGCGTTTACAAAACATGATTCTCACTATTTTTAAATGTCTTCATTTTTCTGATTATCCAAGATATTTAAAAGATATGTTTCGTTTACGCTCTAGCACCTATTTTTTAAGAGGACATAATATGCTCTGTTTGCCCAAACCATCGACCACTTCTTATGGTATCAATTCCTTTAGTTACTTGGCAGCAACATCTTGGAATTCTCTCCCTGACCATTACCGCACTATTTCTGATTTTACTTCTTTTCGACGACTGATATCTACTGGGAACAATAATTTACTTAAAAGGGCAGGAACTGCAAACCTTTCTACATCATGATAATTTGCAAGTTAGTTGTCTAGGTAGTTAGTTATCTTTTTTGCTATATAGAATTAACTTTTTATTATAATTATTTATTAATGTAGTTGGCTCGAAGATATTAGCACTTGAGTGCTACACTGTAAATTCGAGGGTAAATAAAGTTTATTGATTGATTGATTGATTGATTGACTCAAACGGTAAAGCTACCCTGCACAGCATAATAAACATTATGTCACGGTAACAGTAACACTTTTGGATTTCACATCAAAATTAAGAACCACCCAGAACAGTTTTTTGAACTTGGAAGGTACTAAGGATGGGCGTTAACTTTATTAACTTGCATTTACAGCCAGACAGTGCAAAAGAGGAAACCTCTTCCAAAGCTAGTTTACAGTGTAATGCCAGAGAAGGAACTACGACAGAGATTGAAAGAGTGGAATTTATCAACAAAAGGAGATAAAGCAGTCAGTTTAAACTTTTTTCCACATCTTTACAGTGTAGACCGTTTTCCTTAACCCTTTAAGCCCCAAGATCCACATGCAAATTCTCCAGACTGATCTCCATACATTTCTTTTAAGAATAGTTGAGAGAATTTGGTTTAAGATCAAAGCATTCTCCCATTAGTAATCAATTAAGTAATTCTCATAACCTTTACTTTTTGATGATCTGCTGATATTGTTGGGAGAAATTGATGTTGGTCACTCTTGGGACCTAAAGGGTTAATTTATAAAGTAAAGGCTCACAAGAGCCAGAGGCTCACACAGCTGGAGCTTATACTAGTTTCCGTGGCATGAAGCAAGCCTAGGAGTATTGCTACTCCTTCCTGGATGAGATGCTAGTCCATTGCAGGGTTATCCTCCCAGCAGCATGTCGCTGGTACCCATTTATAAACCTGAGTGAAGAGAGACAAAGTGGAGTAAAGTTCCTTGTCTAAAGAAACAACGCAACGGGCGAAGCTTGGACTCTGTACCTCCAGATCCAGAGTTCGCAGTGTTAACCTCTCAGCCACACGTGCCTCCTACTGTTTTTTTCTGCTTTAGGGCTCAGCTCTAGTAGCACCTGTCAGTCTCTGGAGACTTACCATTGCCTCTGAGTGATACAGAAATGCTGGAAGTTTTGGTGGTCATTTCTGTAGCCTGTAGTCCAGGTGTATTATATGGGCCAGCAAGTGCTCAATTATTTCTTGCAGTTTCCATCTTTGATTTTGAAAGTAGATGAAATTAATTTGAGGAGAGTAGAAAGTGGGTTGAGATAATTTGAAAGGCCAAGTTAGCCCTGCTCCTTGCCATATCTCACGAATGCACCACATCATGGACAAATTCTACTTCTTGTCACACTACCCCCCAGGGTTGTCAGAAAGTTTTGAAGTAGACAGCTGAGTTGTCAAAGTAAGCAGCCAGTCCAAGGATATTTTGTTTAAAAAACGCCATCCATAAAGAAATGCCAAACAGAGTAGCTGGCCATTATACTAACCAAGTAGGTGGTGATTTTCGCCGGCAGCCGGCTCCTTTTGACAACCCTGCACTCACTCCCACCCAGGGTTTTCAACAGGATTTTAAGTAGGTGGCAAAAAGCTTTGGAGTAGGTGGAGAAGTAAAAAAATCTTGCCGCAAAGGCACAAGTTTCTGGAAATTTGGGCCTCTTAGAGTGGATTTCCAGCATTCTGGAGCAAAAATTAGTGTTTGAACAGAACACAGACATTATTAAATTTTGGCTTTTTTATTCAGTGACAGCACATGTATACTCTATTTAAACTGGGGTAATTTCCAAAGAAAAGTAGGCGGCAAGTTCACGTGAAATTGTTGGTGAATTTTGCCGGCCACTGGCCCTTATTGATAACCCTGCCCACCCCAAATAAAAAGGCTAAACTGTAGGCTAGGTTTATCTTTAAAAGCCTGAATTGTACTTTTTCCATTCCAGAGTCTTGTTAAAAGGCATCAAGATTTTGTGTTGCTTTATAATGCAGAGTGTGATTCAATTAAGCCAANTAAAAAACGCCATCCATAAAGAAATGCCAAACAGAGTAGCTGGCCATTATACTAACCAAGTAGGTGGTGATTTTCGCCGGCAGCCGGCTCCTTTTGACAACCCTGCACTCACTCCCACCCAGGGTTTTCAACAGGATTTTAAGTAGGTGGCAAAAAGCTTTGGAGTAGGTGGAGAAGTAAAAAAATCTTGCCGCAAAGGCACAAGTTTCTGGAAATTTGGGCCTCTTAGAGTGGATTTCCAGCATTCTGGAGCAAAAATTAGTGTTTGAACAGAACACAGACATTATTAAATTTTGGCTTTTTTATTCAGTGACAGCACATGTATACTCTATTTAAACTGGGGTAATTTCCAAAGAAAAGTAGGCGGCAAGTTCACGTGAAATTGTTGGTGAATTTTGCCGGCCACTGGCCCTTATTGATAACCCTGCCCACCCCAAATAAAAAGGCTAAACTGTAGGCTAGGTTTATCTTTAAAAGCCTGAATTGTACTTTTTCCATTCCAGAGTCTTGTTAAAAGGCATCAAGATTTTGTGTTGCTTTATAATGCAGAGTGTGATTCAATTAAGCCAAAGTCAGGTATGGATGATTGTTACAAAAGATTTTTTGTAAATAACTAAATAATTTGAATTATTTTTAATTTTGTATGATGGGCAACATAACTGAGTAATTAACAATTATTCCTCGAGCTAGAATGGGCTCTGAGTCAGAGGCCATGAGGGTGAGAGGAATAATTATTGTTTAAGTAAAACCCAACTAGTTGGTCAAAAATATTGAGAATAAAAAATTTTAGCTAGTTAAAGCTAGACTGTAATCCTTATATGCCGCCAAAAAGCCCGCACTTTTCGCTACCAGTGGGCTATAACATATATCCTAGTGGTAGCTCATCCAATCAGAACGCAGCATTGATAATAGACCACTAACTGGATTTTACTAAACAGTGATATTTCACCTCTTTTGCAGCTGCTCAAATTGCCAAAGAAGTTGAAAAAGCGGAGAGAATAAGGGCTAAAGAGGCCTCCTCCCTCAATGAACCTTCAACATCAACTGTATGTACCCAGGTACATGCAGTAGTATCTGAATTGGGCAAACTTTCCTCACTGTAGTCATAAATATTCGTTATTGGCAGAGTTTGATACAGTCTTGAATTCCTAAAAAAGTATTCAATTTCTAGGCCTGGAAAAAGTTTGGAAAATAGAGATTAAGTCTTGAAAAAATGGTAAAAAGTCTTTTACTTTTACTTTTTTATAGTTACAACAAGTGCTTTACAAGACAAATTTTTTTGTGCTGATCAAATCTTATTCAATCTCGCCTGTACATTTGCAGCACATCACGGAAAAAGCTTTGTTCCATCATATTTTTTACGGTCTCTATTGATCACTTATTTGATAACTTTGAGTTTTTGGAAAAACTCTGGAAAAAGTCTCGAATTTGTATCCCAAAATGTGTATGAACCCTGTATTTGTAAAAGCTGAAGCATTTTTGAAGCAACAATTAAAAATTTCTTTTAATCATAATTTTTTTTACTTTGGGATTTTTACCAAGTAGGGTGCAACACGCTTAGCTTTGTCTGTGATGCAGTAATAATTTGCCAAAGAAGTGAAAGAGCTCAAAAATGGAGTAGGTCAAGTAGAGCTACTACATGGTTCCAGTAATCAACTCCAGTATAAATTTGTTTCAACAGGGTCTTCGTTTTGAGAAAAACCAGACTGAAGATGATATGGATAAAGTGCGTCAAAAATACTGTGAGTTGGCATCACGAGAACTCTCAAGCTCTTGACTTGAGCATGGGGTTTGGGGAAGGGAGATGGAAATGTCCCTACAACTCCCCCCTCCTCCCCATATCCATCGATATGTCAACTGACCCTTGGCCTCCATCGGTTGACACCCCCTATAAGACACTAGATCTGTCAGCACTAGGTAACTGGGCCGTGTACTAGAGTATTATTGTGAGGTGATTAAGGAAGGATACACTTCTTAAAGTTCTCTTGTTGGGTAGCAAACAGAAAGCTAGCTTGTAGAAAGACAACACAAAACCCTGCCTAAACAATAATGTAATGCAAGGACTTGCCCTCTTGTAATAAATTTATTACTATTGCTTTATCTTCCAGTGAAAGAACATGAGCGTGAATTTGACAAGTTAATCAGTGATGTAAAAAATAGGCAACGAGGCAAGAGAAAGAAAACTGCCAAAGAAATTCCAGGTTAGTAGGGACATGCGAAGAGAAAATACTTGTTTTTCCTTTGTGTTATTGGAGAAAGCTAGAATCTTAAGGTTATTTATTTAAATCTTCTTGTAAATAAATCACCATAGTTGGAAGTTTCTATTTTTTTTCCTCAGGTAGTGAAAGCCTGTCAGTTTTGAAAAAGTGTGAACGTGGTGAAAAATCAGCAAAAGATGAAAATGATGAGAGTTGTATCACAAAGCATGATGACATTGATGCAGAGAAGACAATTGCAAATCTTGAAAAAGGCCCCTCAAGTTTTATGGCAAATAATAAAGATTCCTCAACGCTTGACCAGTCCAAGAGTTCATCTATTATTCCTGAACCACCTTCATCCCCAAGCCTCATTTCACTGCCAGATGAAGAAGATGAGTTAACTCCTTCACTAGGATTGGAGAACGATGATTTGGTAATTGTTGCTTATACATTCCTTAAGTAGTCTCTAATGGGGAATGGCCAACTGACGGCTTAACCCTTTAAACCCTAAGGTCAAAATTTGAATTCTCATTTGTTGCCCCTATTTGTTTCCTACAGAAGTAGTGGGGAGAAGTTGATAAAATATCAATATTAATAGAGGTGAAGCCAATAAACCAAATCGTTGGGACCTCAGAAAAGGAAACCGTTACCTCTTAAAAAAGGCCCCTTCATACACGTACAGTTAAACCTGTATTTAGTGAACCTGTTAAAAACTTCCACCCTCAAAGTTGATCACAGAGATGTTGTGATTCAGTTTTGTCCATGGTTTAAGTATTTTTTTTTTCTTTGTTTCAAACTCGTTATCATACACTACTTTTAACCCAAAAATAATGGAAAAGGATAAAAATAGAACCACAACACAGACATGAAAAAATGTCTAATAATTTGAGTAATCGAAAAAAGACTCTGAGGCAATTTTTTGATCCCTTAGGACTGTAAAGATGAGGATTCCAGAGATCTAAATATTATTCCAGAAAGGTATTGTTTTATAACATGATCAGGGTGCAAAGAAAATCAGTTTTACAGCTTGCCATTCGGGCAAGCTGAAGCTAGCACTTACTAGCCCAGATGTCATTTCAACTAGCCCCAAAAACTTTTTGTTCTTCTGTTATCCGAACTCCTCATAAAACATCACTTGCCCGTTGGGCAAGTTAAAAACAGAATTCACTAGCCCGATAGCAAAATCCACTAGCCCCGGGCTATCGGACACTACTTTCTTTGCACGGTGATGATATAGCTGTGTAAGTTGATGTTTGAAATATTTATTAAGCCCGTTTGTGGGTCAATCCAGATTGTCCCGGCGGGCGGCAACAAAGGGGCGGGAGGTTTTGGATGGGGATTCAAAGTCCTACCTTACGTCCTCGCCGTGACCCCTGGGCAATGCCGAAGAGGGCTCAGTCGCTAACTGGGTCTTCTGATGCCGCTAACAAGACAATAATGCCACAACTGAGGGCCAATCTCCCCTTTTGCGTAACATTGGATTACGACAGCAGAAATCTTAATTTAAATGCATGTGGCTAACCTAGGTTAACCTTTAGGCAGTGCTGCAGTGATTTCTGGGTACCTCTAAGCCCAGTCAAATCAGGCAAATCTCAAATCCACAGACAAATTATTACCATTGCTGTTTGCAGCTTAGTTGTCTCAGACAAAATTGTAGCATTCCATACATTTAGCAGTACTCATGCTAACATCACCACTGATGTCAATGTGCCAATCAGAAGAACAATGATTCTTGAAACAAGATTCAGTTGTTTTATGCGTTACACATTTGAATAATGAATTAATTTAAAACAATGTTTGTAAACAGTGAGTATCACTAATTCTGGTGTTCAGTCTTCTGAGTTTCACAGTAAAAAGCCTCTGCAACAGTAAATACAGTCAACTCTCTCTAAGACGGACACCTTTGGGACCGGCACTAGCTGTCCGTCTTAGAGAGATGTCTGTCTTATAGAGAGTCAAATAGAGGGAGGAAAGAAAGGCAGGGACCAACTCTAAGTGTCCATTTTACAGAGGTGTCCATCTTATAGAGGTGTCCGATAAGAGAGAGTCGACTGTATACAAAAAAAGATGGAACACGTCCAGAATTCATTCCTCTTTCTCCAAAATAATATGCAAAGTCTGACTCTATCTTTCCTCCTGCTTGACTTTCAGCCCTGTTATAAAAGTAGGAAGAGCTGAGGATGCAAACGTTAACACGCACACTGCGGCAAGTGACAGTGATGAGGAGTTCCAGCTTCATGCATCAGTTAGCAGCAAAAGAATAAAGTCGAACTTATTCTGATCAAACGACAAGGTTTCCAAAAGACCGGTATTCAAAACACTTCTGGCAAATATATTTGTAAGTGGGAATAAAAATTGTATTAAAATGGCTGCAAAAAACTTTTTTTCTGAAATATGTCTGTCCAGGTCAGCCGTGTATTCAGACAAATCAGCTTGGTTGGTCAGCCATAGGTTATTATTGACTTTAAGTATAAAAAGTACTATACATAGCTAGATCTTCACCTTCAAAATGATTATCTTTAGTGATATTTGAACCGTCAAGTCATCGCATCCAACTGCAGAAAGAATTTTGTTGAACATTTGTCACATTTTAGTGTGACGTTGTCGACTGACCAACTGGTATTTGCAGCTCTGTGTAACAGAAAATTAAACCATTTTTATAGACCCACCAGTTTTAGATCCAAATGATAGAGATTTAATATGCAACTGAAGGAAAGTAAAGAAAATAAATTTGTTGTCGTTCAAATTGCATCCTTGGTTTTCTTTTTGAATGACAATGTATACCGATCTTCATGAAAAAAAAGGAAAGTATAATAAGATTGGAAGCAAGGATAAATCACATCATGCTGATTGCAACTTTCCATGGTGCACCATGTAAATTCAGCATTGAAAATGTAATGTCAATATTATCAGTAAGTGAAAGTGGCGTCATGAATGTAACCATGTATATACCTATAAATAATCATCATTCAATTTTAACTCAAGTGAAGCAATTAAATATATTATTTTTATACATTGTACTCACTATCTGTTTTCTCCTTGGTCAACAACATAAAGTTAATTTTGGGAATCAGCACATCCTGTCAAACTGTGTTCTACACAACATTCTGTATTTGGTTATTTTCTTCAACTGCATGCTATAACAATAGTAGATTCGGTTTTGTGATAACTGGAGTAACAAAGGTTGAGTAAGTGTTACAACACTTAACAAGACCTTGATTTTATTGGATATAACAAAAACCTGATCTAATAAAATTTGCTGTTTACTGTTTTTCATTATAAGTTTACACTTTGAACTTGAAATTCAAGGTTGCTCGTAGAAGACAGTTTATTTTGGGTCTTAGAGGAAAACAAAACCCAAGACCTTCCAAAAAGTTCATGTCTTAACAGTCAGACAGCAGAAATCCAGGTTAGGTTAATTTCCAATAATTTTTTATTATTTTTCCACAAATAAATTTACATGAAGTGGAGACAGAATAGAAGAATACACTAAAAATAAACAGCAAAACACATTAACATTACAATAGTTACATGTATAGAATGACTGCTTATGTAAAAAAGTGTAAGAATAAGACTAGGAACTTTTGAGACCAAAAATGTAAGATATGTCTGATAGCGCGTATACAACATGGCCAACAGTCCTCAAGAAATTCAAAAAGAATTTTCACAATGTTGATTGTGTCTGAGTTTACAATGTGAAACCTGCAAGCTTAAGCTGGTGATGATTCGGTTGTCATTAAGAACATGCTCATGCAAGTTGTATGAAATGTGGTGCAACTTGATGGTTGACTTTGGGAAATTAAAGCAAATATTGCACCAGAGTCTTACAAAAAAGGTACTGACATTGAAGAAAATTTACACTTTGTGGTACTAGGTGCAATGAGAAGCATTTGAAAGAGTGTATAAAGAGACATTGTTACACCCGCTGTTTGCAGTGAAATCAGACAAAAACATAAACACCAACAACATTCCTTGAATGGGAATTTTAACATCTGATACCCTTTACCAAGAGGCAAAAAAACCACCAAAAATTAAGCTTTTTGGCTAAGGAACACAGAATCAACCATGAGCAAGAACAATATGATATGGCACTTATGCATGTGCATTTTTGTTAGAATTCTATTCACTATTTATGCAAATAACAGTGACGATATAAAGAAGGAATATGCTGTACAAGTTAGTATGTTACACTAAAAACACTTTTTTTCCCACCAAAGATGAGAACGTTGTTTGCTGAAGATAACAGTGAATATCATACTAGCGGCACGCAGCGGCAACTATTTGCGCTTCGAACATGAATGCTTTCATGGTCTAAACATTACACACCTATGTATGTCAAATCACTTGATGTCTAAGCCAGTTTTGATAATTTGCCACATTGTGAATGATCTTGAAACCTATTTAATATCTGAAAATTAATCTAAAAACAATTAATTTTTTAAACCTATGGTAATTTTAAAAAATTATTGCTATTTTGCAGCTTTGCAGCTATGGAACAAGCTTTTTACCATATTTTTTGTTGTTGTTGAACAAACAAAAATGCCCAGACAGTGATAAAATATACAAAGCCCTTCCTTTTAACATTGTTGCACAGGTAGCCCAAGCTCTGTATCCCAGCCCTTATAATGTATCTATTTATATTATGTAATGAATTACATGTGTTCACTGCAGGTGAACCTCTTCACAATACGACACCCTGGAGATAGAGGAAAATTCGGATATCTTCATCTAAACTCTCCACACTGATCTCATACATTTCCTTAAGAATTAGTTAAGAGAATTTGATAAAAGATCAAAGCATTTCTGTTTGGTCATCATTTCATTTATTCTCTACATTTATTCTTGATGATGTCTTGATATTGTTTGGAGAAAATTGATGTTCATCACATATTCTCAAGGTTTCAAAAACTGAACTTGGGCTACCTGTGGTTCTTGGTGTCAAATTAGGCAGTGAGATCCCCGAGAAAAATAAAGGACTCAAGGAAATCTTGTAGCGTATAGAAAATCATCAAAATAAATATAACTGACTTGAAAGTAAAACCTATTCCAGCTGACACATTTTGTCATAAAGGCTGCTTGTTCCTTATATAACAGCATGAAAAAATTTGAAAATATTCCTAATAGAACTAATGTTACCCAATTTTAAACGTCATGAACTACCTTCCTGATTACTAACACCATTACTATGTTCTGTGCCAAGTGATGGACCAGGATCAGCATTGTCTTCGGATGTGGGTGCAGGTGAATTCCTTTCCGGGGTCATTGATGGTGAATTCTCTGGTTTTAAAAGTTTATAATCTGTTATAATGACTGTTATATTTCCTACGGTGACGGCCATATGCTGTGCACTGCTTCTGTCAACATTTTTTAGTTTTGGCCTGCAAGGAAAGGTAAGAACTAAATTAATGAAAAATGATTTTCATCGCCATAATGGCAGTATATTTCTTAAGAAAATTAGAACACCATTTACAGATTTTTCAAATCCTTGGTTTCTCTATCATCCCAATAATTTATTTAATGCCCTTCACAAGCCAAAAACTATAAAAATAAAAATATTGTTTTATCCTGTGGGGGGACTCTGGTCAAGTCAAAAACTGTCATAAGTAAAGGTATGTGTAAGAGTATGCAATGCCAAACAGGGGGCGGTGGGGGGGGGGGGGGTTGCATTAGGCAGCCATCTTGGATGGGTGTCAAAAAGTAGTTTTGGCAACCATCCAAGATGACTGCCCATAATGCAAACATCCCCCCACACATGTTCTTAGGGGTTTGTCACACGTACGGGAACGTCTGCGGGGAAGGCTATAACGCAAAGCACTGAATTTCAACAATCTTACGAAAAAATGGGGGGCATTGGTTTTAGGCCCCTAGTCTAGACTGGGGGAACAATATTCAACACATTGCGAAGAACAAATTGTCATAATTTATTTCAAGAACAAAGATTTCAGCACTGCTTTGCAGATGTTACTAACCAAAGTTAGATAATGTCTGTGACATAGGCTATGATGTTCTTACCTGGACTTTTTAAATGGTTTCTTTGTCATGACTTTTTTTAGTGGCGGTGGTGATGTAACAAACTGCTGTGCGACTTGCTGAGCCACTAACTGAGAATTAAGTTTTGGTTTCCTGCAAATTGGAAGACATTAACACCTTCACCCTCAAAAGTGGCCAAAGTCTAAATTCAACATTGTATAATGTTGTAAAACAAGTTAGCAGTACCACGTCAAAGCAATGCCAAAGAGGTATGGGCCCGGTGGGGGGGGGGTACTGCCATATGATCAGGAAACTGATCAGTTGGTTGAAGATTTTATCTAGACTAGGGAAACGGCTACTCTAGGATAGCAGGGATTTGGGGAATTTACTCTAGTATAGGGTACCAAAATTCAGCTGAACTAGCTCTGGTATAGGTTAAGGGTTCCAGGGTCCCAGTGGCACATACCCACCCAGAAATTCCTAAAGTACCCCCCCCCCTCCGGGCATGGGTAATAGACATGTCTCCATACCACCTGCCTCAATTAGTTCCACTATTTTGCAGGTAGTCTGTATTTGTAATTTATTTATTGTGAATGTAAACAAATAAAGCTTGAGTTGCTTCAGCTGAATAGTCACACCATAGGATTTCATCTAAAGACACAAAAGTAAGTACCACCTTACAACACTCCATGAGTCAACCTGGCAGTGAAAGTGTTAAACCCCCAGGGAGGGGGACTACCACATAAAAGTGACAGGGATGCCCGTCGGAAAATTCAAATTAAACCCTACGGGAGACCAATGTAGGTGTGGCTCAAGCTTAAACTGACCTCTGAGGGAGATTCTGTGTGGTCAGTGACAGGGCATTTTTTGTGAATTTCTTTATGCACAGTACTAAGCGATACCTGAATGGGCAAATATAGTGACTTTCCATCCCAAACACCCTTGTGAGACCAAAATCTGCAATTTACACCCCAAAGAAAGACTAGGAGCATACCCGGCACTTTTACATAGAAGTTCCCCCCGGGGGGGGGGGGTTAAATCTTACCCACATATTTAGTGACTAAGAACTTTATAAGCATCTGTGGCCAAAGATTAAGGCTCTAGAAGCTGGATTTTACTGAAAATTCTTTCAAAATAAAACAGTTTCAGAGAAAGAAGGTGTGGTGGACAACCCCCCCAGATCCCAGGGGTCTGAGATGACTAGCACTAATGAGGAGAAATTGTTTTTAATATTAAGTGATTATTTATTTTATTCTTACAACATTTATTTATGATTAAGCAGTGATATTGTTAGGAGAAAAGAGATCAGATGCTGGTCACTGTGAGGGTTTCAAGAGTGAAACAATGAGAGGAAATCCTGATAACATTTTTCAAATTTTTCAACTCATTGAAATGTAATTTGAGATACTGTCAAAAAAATAATATTTTTCTGAACACAAGTGAGTTTTCATTATTTTTGCTTACAAAAAGTATTGAGAGCTTCCTGTTTTTATGTGATTGTTTTATGTCTATGCAAGTAATAATGTTTTTCTAATTTTTCAATGAAATATAGGTATGTCTGGGATTCCAGACAGTCTGATAGATTCCCAGGGGGGTGGTAATGAGAGAATTGTACACTGTACATTTCAGCTGTAGTCACAAAAAAAACGATTGGGGAAATGAAAATATCTTTGACAGTAACAACTGGCCACAGACGCCTTTGATTTTAACCACAAACATCTTAGGAAACAATTACAAGCATGTGTTTCGAATTTTATCTGATGATAGGTCGTGCAGAGCGGCGCGTTGGTAAATCCACATGGCTAAAGAAATTGTCTTGGGAATCCAGCTCAAATTGCTACTTTGCCAATTAACATCTATAAAAGTTTCAGATATAAAATCATAGTCTGTGGTGATAATTTTACACTAGAGTTACAATGAACTGAAATGCAAGACTCTGAAAAACATTCTTTTTGTATTTTTTCAAGACGTCTTAAAATATACAAAGCGCAAATGCAAACAAATAAAGTGCCACGCTATCTGCCGTACCTGGTAGAAGTTCCTTTTCTTACATCACACATGGCGCATTTAAAAGCTTCGGCCCCATTTCTGTACGTGCAAACGCTGCAATCCCAATAATTTTCATCCATTCCTGGTCGTAATACTTTGCGAATCCTGTTAAAATGAACACAACAGCTCAAAACACTTGAAGAAAGTCAAGTGCTTGTGGAGTGAAACGGAGCTCAATTCGAACCACACGATACTTATGAAGGTTTGATTTTACAGTGTAAGATTTGAAATCAGCCTTCAGGTTTTAAATGCAATTGCCCTCTCATGAACTGAGTAAAGCGTTCACCGATAAGTTTACATAGAAGATATAGTTTTTCGACTTGAAACCTAACCTTGGACTTGTGCTAAATGCAGTTTCTCAAATCTGTGAATGCGAGCACTGTTCACGGCGAAAATTCTTCTCCGATATGTCACCAAAAGATAGCTTACTTTACAGGGATTTTCTTGTCCAGCTTCTCTTCCATAATCCGTGGAACAGAGGCTTTAGAATTGAGAATAAATTCTCAATTTTGCTCTGGTCTACACTGGTCGTGTATGTTCGCGTTTTGTATACAGGCAAAGCTAAATGAAGAACAACCAATCACAACACAGAATCGCCGGTAGATGGAGGAACAATCATTTGCCAAATATGGTTGGTGAGAGCGTGACTTCCGCTATCCGCAGCCGCGTTTTCGATCAGCGTACTTCGCCTTAACAGTAGGCTGTTATGTACGACGAAATATAGTGTACCACAACTTCAAATCTCAGCATTTCACATGAGACATTTTCCAGGAGCCGATTTCGAAAATGGATTTTAGCAAGTTTGTGAGAGGTTCAGAGCCATTTTTCTACTACAGAAGGTATCCCACAGAAGCAACGAAGAAAGTCTTTCAGGCTGTAAATTCCGGAGATGCTACTTTGCTTAATGAACTTCTGGAAAAGATGCAAGGCTATGAAAAGGCTTTCACGCTGAAAACAAAGATGGAAGCCTACAGGCTTTATCAGGCGTATTATACAACTAGGGCAACTCCGCTAATTGTTGCGGTTAAAAAGGGAAATCTTGATTGTGTGAAGGTACTTCTGAAGCACAAAGCAGATATCGAAGGCCGTGCTGGCGATGACGATGTGGAAAATTGTTTCATGTATGAAAATTGTACACCTCTGTTTGTTGCCGCTGTCTCAGGCAACCTTGATGTGTTGAGTTGTTTGATTGAAAATGGAGCAGATGTCAATGCCTGTTCAGATGACCAGAGTACTCCTCTCATGATAGCTGCCAAGTATGGTCACCTGAAGGCAGTGAACTTCCTTATAAAACATGGAAGTAACATTGACCTCCGTGACAAAAGGGGTGATCAAGCTCTTCACCATGCGATTCGTGAGAAAGATGACTCATGCGATGTTTTGAGATGTTTGATCGATAATGGAGCTGATGTCAATGCATGTACTAATAAAAACGCCACCCCTCTGATGATCGCAAGCGTAGGCAATAAGATCAACCAAGTAAGCTTTCTTATTGAGCATGGAGCCAACCTTGATCTTCAAGACAACAGCGGAGATACTGCTTTTCACTATGCTGTTTATCGCAACGCACCCAAGGTTGTTGATAAGCTACTGTCTGTTGGAGCATCGCAGTTGCCTAATGGTCATTGTTTAACCCCTCTTCTTCTAGCAAGCAATCAGTGCTGCAGTTCACTGGTTGAAGAACTAATCAAGAGACCAGAATACTCAAAGGAAGAAGTAATCAATGCTCTTGAGCTCCTAGGTGCTTCCCATATTACTAGGCAACCTCCAGGAACTTTTGTGGATGACAATCCCGCATTGGAGGCCTTTCAGTTCATTAAGCGTGGCATGGAGGAAAGATTTTCTAATGCTGCTCAGCCCATCTTAAAACAACCAATGGAACCTATTGAAGCCTATCAGAGCAGAAAAGAGTGTCAAACTCTGGAGGAACTTGCTTGGCTAGAATTTGATGAAAATGCACTTATCATGGAGGGTCTTATCATACGAGAGAGAATTCTCGGAACAGACAATGTAGAGTTGATTGCTCCTATCCGTGAGATTGCTAAGTACCACAGCGATAATGAAATTAATATGGATAATGATATTTCAATATGCATTGGACTGTATATACATGCCATGAAGAAAGCAAGAATTTGCAATGAATCTGCCATCTCAGATGTCGATGGCTTAACTTCTTTGTTGTACGATAGGGTAATTGGTAACAATCCCCTGAGAAAGCAACAGCTACCACTTCTTGAATTGCTTCAGCAAACAGTTATTGAGTTTAAGAGACAACAGGCGGAAGGAGTTGTAAAAATTGACTCATTTGTATTCAAACCTTTTGAGTCCCGAGAACTTTTTGATTCCTTTCAGAAACTTTTGCAAATTATTGCCAAATATGATGATGGTGATGAAACAGATTCTTCTCTGTCAGAACTGCTGGATAAACTTCGCTTGCTGAATCCTACCACTTCTGAGGGGGATACATTGTTGCATGAAGCTGTTGACAGAAACCCACTCCACATTCCCTGCCCCAGTGCAGTGAAGATGTTACTGAACACGGGATTTAGTGCAAATGCTACCAACGACAATGGAGATACACCACTTCACAGAGCTATAACGTTTTCTCCCATCGATGACATTCATCTCCTAGTTCTCCAGGCATTGTTTAATGGAGGTGCTCATTATGATTTTGTCAACAAAGATGGCAAAAGACCCATGGACGTCGCTCAAACTGATGAGGCTCGCATGATTCTTTTAGAAGGGAGGACAATAGAGTTAAAGTGTATCAGTGCCAGGGCGGTCAAAAAGTTTGGAATTCGTTATTTAGGGGTGGTACCCAAAACACTGGAAAAATATGTTAGCATGCATTAAATACCTTTACAGACATTCCAGTTATAAGGACAGTTTCTAAATTCCTGACAAAAATGACAGGTGTTTCATGTAATATATCCAAAACGACACGCAGTGTTTCATCCCATATTGAGACACCGAGAAGTGATTTGAAAAACAAGGGGCAGCCGAGTTTCTTAAGATCGACTTTGAGGTATTTGGATATTGGATGAAACACTGAGCGGAGGTTTGGATATAGCTTCTCAATTGAACATTAATATTGGAGAAATTTAAAGATAACGTTCACAAAATTTTTATGGTAATTAGTTTTCTCTGTATGAATTATTAGTGAGTTTGAGAAGATTAAAGAAATTTTGCTATTCAGTGATTTTATTACAGAATCATGTCCTTTAGTTACTCCCTATGATGTTATTATCTTTTACAAAATTGCTGGCTATTGTATACTTAAAAATACTTCACCTCTTTGTCTTGACATATGCAATATTTTATTGCTCTCTGTTATATTATTACAGTGAAACCTGTATTAAGCGGACACCCTCTATTAAGTGGACAGTAGCCGAAGTCCCCAAATTTATTTCCCTTATTTACTTCAAATGAAACCTTTATTAAACGGACACCTCTATTAAGCGGACGTGGACACCTAAAAAGTACCTAAAAAGGGCCATTTCTGTTGTTGCCAACCTGTATTAAACGGACACTTGTAATTAAATTCCACCATCCAACATGCCAGACACCGGAAATGCAAAAGATTGCCTCAAATTGCCACCCACAAATTTTTCAATTTTTACATTAAAAAACGTGACTTGATGAACTTATTTGATTAGTTTCACAGTACAGGATTGTTTTCTATTTCGTTTTGTGTGTCTAGAGCTTGTTTCACTCATCTGATTTCTTCAAATTTGAGTTGCAATCCATGTTTATGGTAGTATGATCAATAATAATTATTGGTTCACTTTGATAAAGAAATTAATGAAAAAACGTGTATCGTCCTAGTCTCTGGGAGTATTATAAACGCTTCCACTGTTCATTTGAATGGCATTTGACACCATATGACGTTACATATCGAAACCTGTATTAGGCGGACACCCTGTATTAAGCGGACACTACAGCATTCCCCGAGGGTGTCCGCTTAATACAGGTTTCACTGTATATTTTATTTTTCAGTAAAATTGAAAGTATAAATTGCCAATAGAAACAAAAAGAACAGAAAAACAAAGCAACAAAAATGAACAGGTCAAGGTACAAGAAAAACGGTGCAATTGCCTATGTAAGTATATTTTGTTCAAAACAACTCGGTGTTTGCATTGAAAAGTCCTCAGCAGCTGAAAAGAATTAATTTTGAAGATATTGTGTGGGACCCCACCTTACAGCCACCTCGTTAATATGGCCACCTCATTTATCATGGCCACTTCTTTCGGCTTACAGGCAAAAACTCCCATTCATTTTCTTGTAAAAAAAACCCTCGTTAATACTGCCACCCCGTAAATACGGCCATTTCTTTTTGGTCCAATGGTGGCTGTATTAACAGGGTTCCATCAGGAAATCCATCAGGAAATTGAGAAATTTCAATTTTCAGTGGACAAAAACCTTGTACCAGAATGACTTAAACATTCTTTTTTTACATTTTTCAAGGGCTATGATATAATTTGTTATCTGTATTAACACCAAAGACTATTTCTCACTGGTGTTATTCACAGATAACAAATTAAGTCTATAGCCCTTGAAAAATGTTAAAAAGAAAATCGTCAAAAAAAACGCTTTTCGGGCAAAAGTACTACAATATATCACAGGTAAGGTAATTCAACGTTTATTTAGCATTGATTTATATACAAACTTAGCGATATATCAGTCAATTTGGGCTGAACCCTGGGCATTAGCATTTTTTTAAGCCTTGGATGGCAAATTCCCAGGGGTGGGGGGTGGGGACTCTAGAGCTGTCAAATCTCCCGGGGTGGGGAGGAAAAAAGAGGGCAAATGCCCCATCCTCCGTCAACACTGCAACATTTTTCATTGATTGCACAGTTGAATAGTGCCGTTTTAAGCATTTTAATGTGCAATTTTTTGTTTCACTTAAAGTCTTCTTTGTAATAGCGCTAGGATTCTAATTAAGGCTTCACGCCTCGAAGACATGCACCAGTTTATGGTTTTAGAGTGGGCATAAAATTATTTACATTAAAATTTATAGAGTGCGGTGAAGTTATATGTCATGAATAGTTTTATAAATATGAAAGGATGTTCTTCCAATAATATCAACGGAAATTAGATTCAATAACAAAAAAACGTTGATTCACATCGATAGCTCCGGATTTTGCTCCGTAATTCTGGCTTGATAAGCAATAAAGAAATGCATGCATAAAATCGGGAACATGCCTTTACAACCCTCTTCAATTTATTCCTGTCCTTGACAGATCAACATCGTCCCAGGGCGCTTTTCCCTGGCTTTTCCCACTCCACCTCCAAAGCCAGGGAAAAGTGCCCTGGGGACGAGGTTGCTTGACAGGTGAGCCAATCCGCTTTTTTTTTTCAGTAAAACCTTTTGTGTAGTTATATTCTGATAGGAAACCGCGTGCGCGTCAAATGCTCAGGAATGGCCCTGGGGGTTGGCAAATCCCCGGCCCCCTAGACCACGAGTAGTCCCCCATTTTTCCTCAGGAATAGTAGAGCGAGCGAAACGCGAGCGGGCGTGAAAATCATCCCACGCGAGAAAAGGCGACACGCGGCGGGAAGAGAGAAAAATGAGGTGTCGCCTTTTCTCACGTGGGGTGATTTTCACGCGCGCTCGCGTTTCGCTCGCTCTACTATCCCTGAGGAAAAATGGGGGACTACTCGTAGTCTACCGGCCCCCAGGCAGTTCAAAATTTGTAAATAGCCCACCCCCAGGACTGACAAGGCAGGCGAATGCCCCGCAGAGGCCCCAGGGGATTTGGTGGAGGGGAGGGGGGCTGGGCGCAGCTGGAATAAGAATCGGTTTCGCATAGATTGTGTGGGCTACCGTGCTTCGGCATGTGATAAAATATCGACTGGACTGGGTTATAAAACATTGATTAATAAAACATGGCGTGATAAAACATGGATTAATAAAACATGGAGTGATAAAACATGGATTAATAAAACATAGAGTGATAAAACATGGATAAATAAAACATGGCGTGATAAAACAAGGGGTGACAGGCCGCACATCCATACCGGCGTGAAACGTTTTGTGAACCTTTTATATATTTAGCTCTAACGCGCAAGTCCTTTAGGGATTTTCCTTTCTTGTAGGAAATGATACGTAGTTCTTTTTTTGAGCGGACATATCTTATGAATGGGCAACAAATTGGGCAGCACTAAAACACGGAATCCGGAATCCGGAAACGGAAACGGAATCACGGAAACGGAAACGGAAACAGAATACGGAATCAAATATCGATGATAGAAAATTAAAGAATTTCACAATACACAATTTAGTACAATCCAAAGAGAATTTGTCTTAGTTTTCTTGGCAGTTCCCTTAAATATATTCTTGTTATTGTGTCTTGATAAGGTTTGCCGTAGTGTGGGTTACTACGCTGCAAGGCCGATGAAAGTAATTTTACGAGTAATTTTTATTCACGAGTTCATGGGTTGAATAATACAGTTAAATATTACTTTTGTAGCTAATTGTCAAGAATAGTCGAAGTTAGCCTCAGACCACACCACGTGATTGTCCCCAAACTGAATACTCCACACATGACCGACCGGTGACGTGACCACAGTTCCGGTGTTTTAGCAATAAGTTCAACTTTTTCGCCAAGCTGAATACTGATGGAATACTGGTGTACCGGTAATTGAGTTTACGTGGACGTCCGTATTTTTGTTGAAGAGGCTTATTAAACATGGCGCATTATTTTGATGTAATCGGTTGCGGAATCAAGCAAATGCATGCACAATTCTCTCTTCTCTGTGGACTCCACAATGCCATGGTTCTCTTGAGTAAGTTTTCTTGATAAATAAAACTGAACACTGTTGAAGACAACCCAGAAAAGACACTGAGAAAAACTTGACGGCGACGCCTTTCAGTTATGTAAACGACGCCTCAGACGATTCAAACGAAGTCTGTCTCCATATAACTTACCCTTTTGTTAAGGCACTAGTTTTTGTCAGTCACGTTTTTCTCCTCGCTTTGCTGTCCCATGAAAATTTGCATTCATTGCCGACAGTGGTATCAAGCGTCTTTTCACCGGAATCGACTCCTCCAGTGACACAGCAGTCTCCTCTCCTGTACTCAGCTAATTTATTCATTTGTGCCTTTTTTTTATCTGTTTATTTATTTCATTGTCATTGCTAATATTATTTTTTTCAAATCGATCGCTTGGAACCTTCTTTCACAGATTCCGTATTCCGTTTCCGTTTCCGTTTCCGTGATTCCGTTTCCGTTTCCGGATTCCGGATTCCATATTTTAGTGCTGCCGCAACAAATTCAACAGGAATATGCGCGAACTGAATAAATATATTCTCTGTTGTACATCTATTAAAGGTTCTGCTCAACTTACAGCTTTTGTTTAGCTGGGGAAAAGTCAAGTGTACCGAGCCGCATCGTGATCCGCTGGGCATAAAAGCTATATCATCGTTCAATTTTAAAGTGTAAAATCCCTGAAAGAGTTCTCCTCACTAGGGCAATATGTTAGAGGTATTCAAAGGCTTCACGCCGGTGAAGATGTGCGGCCTGTCGCCCCTTGGTGTTTTTCCTCATTTTGGTAAGCAAGGTTATTCTTTCATGTTACGCTTAATACGCCAAATAGATATATCAATTTCTACCGCGTTGATTGGACGAGGAGATGACGTTGATGGTGCAATTTCCTGTCACTCTCGCGCGCGCGTGTACGATACTTCGCCGACGCTGGTCAATAGTTAATGAAACTGCCTATTTAATACGAAATACTTTTGTTGTTGGCAAGCAAAAGTGTCACCCTTTTGAGAAAAAGTAAGATAAAATATAACTGGCCCTTTTTAATTTCATTTCCGACCGGAAATATTGCGTGACAGAAAGCGGGAGCTACTGGAAGGAAAAAACCCTGGTTATATCACTCTATGTTTTATTAATCCATGTTTTATTAATCCATGTTTTATCACTTCATGTTTTATTAATCCATGTTTTATTAATCCATGTTATCACTTCATGTTTTATTAATCCATGTTTTATCACTTCATGTGTTATTAATACATGTTTTATTAATCCAGTCCATGTTTTAGCAATCCAGTCCAGTCAATGCCTGTGCTTCAATGTCAGCTTTCATCAAGGGTACTCGTCTGTGCCGTTTAATATTCTAATATTTTTCCGTCCTGTTTTAGTTCCCTGGCATTATCCTGTCGTTCAGAATACCTAAACCACAACGGAGTTGTCACGTATCGGTTGATACAAACTGTAGTTTATATGGCTCAA